TTCAGAGCGAATTTGTTGTTTTATACAGAGAATATACATGTTTAAACAAAAGTTCTCCAACTGTGAGGTAAAGAGTGTAACTAATGTCTCATATTATATGGCTTTATTCAATACATTTGAGCATTAACCTTTAAAGTTCAAGATAAACCCCAAACTTTGCCCAAATGTACCATTTTTTAAAAACTGACGCTAAAAATTTCCCGGAGGAAACGCTGCTCTTATTGTGAAAGGACCTCCGGAAGCAGGTGGCTACTCGCGGCTAAGTGCAGGATGAAGCTGTGAGGTAAACAGCGGCCCGTGCTGCATGTAAGTCTGGTTTAAGGAGTTTTTAACTCTCAAAAGACTTCATTCATAAGGTGCTTTGTTGTCTGCTGCCATTATGTAATTTATATGTGGGATAATTCCAGAATATCACAGCAAAGTTTGCTTCGGAGCTAAGCTAGCCGAATAAAACGTAAACAAACAAACGTCACTTCCGCCTTTAGCCTATTGGTCCGTTCAGTGTAACGTCACCGCGTCCGCCATCTTGGATTTGGCAGAACTGCCCGTAAACTAATAAAAGGAAACGGACTGAAAACCATAAAGCGCCTTTCTACAAAGTGCTTTAAGTTAATGAACCTTATTCACCATTTCACACACACACTAATATATCTGGGAAGCAAATTGCCACCAAAAAACCGTCCGTAACTTTTAAAGTGAGGTTTCTAAATGTTTCCTCCTGTCTACGATATAAGGAAGCACCAAACCAGCGTCTGTAGTTTTAAAGCTGAGAGTTTTCAGCTACTAATGTTTGTAACTCCGTTACTGTAATATAAATATTGTAATATTGAAATTGAACATGTAATCAGTGTCCATAGTAACCAGATCCTGAAAAGTAGATGTGACTTCAGGGTTTTCTGGATAAAGAGCACAAACATTTACATTTAATTGATTTGGAGTTTAAATGAAATTAAATTCACATTTATAATACACACAAACACACACACACACACACACACTCATATATACATACACATATATATACACACACA